TAAATAGCAAATGGGTTTTAATTATAACAAATGCAAGATAATGCATGTGGGTTATCATAATTTGAATTATAAGTATAAATTGCACGGGAATAACCTTAATAGTGTTATGAAGGAAATGGATCTTGATGTAATAGTTGATCAGTCTCTAAAGTCATCCAAGCAGTGTGCTGTTGCTTGTGGTTGGGTAAATAGGATTTTAGGTTGTATCTAAAGAAATATTGAATACAAGTCTAAAGAGATTATACTTTCATTGTACAGGTCACTGGTTAGGCCACATTTGGATTACTGTGATCAGTCTTGGGCTCCTTACCTTAGGAAGGACATTGAATTGTTGGAGAGGGTTCAGAGAAATGAAGTACGAGTTATGGACAAAAATAACAATTTTATAATGCTTGAATGATCTTTCTGCATGATATTTTGCCTATGAATTCTAAAACAAATATATTTCCAAAAAATTGATTATTAATATTTGAACTCCGAAAAGTATAATGCACAAAAAGTATCTTTACTGTAACCTATAAAAATACAATATATTCAAATATTTCTACTACCTTAACTTATTAAAATTTTCTTTTTTGAATAGTACGTATTAAAGCTAATGAACAGACATATCAATACAAGATGCTTTTCATCATATATTCAGTATTAATTCTACCATAAGCTTTCCCAAGGGCTTATCATCACGTGGAAATTTAAGCTCATTTGAAGGAAAAAGGAATAATTTATATTTAATAGAAGTGCATATGTATAAAACTTGGTTGCTCAGACATGACACTAGTGTTTATAGCAATACCAGCATTCCAATACAAAAATGAGAAAGGAAGGAAAATGTTGCTACATTAACATTTAATAAATAATTGTAGAATACACCAGAAATATTTATAGCATTAGCACATTAATTAAACATATTACCTTTCAAAAGAACTTACAAACACTTAATTTAGCTTTATTTATTTCAATAAATTTTTTTTATATGTATTGCAATATTCAATAATTGCCAAAATAAATTACAAATGATAACAATAAATGTGAACATGCATCCAGTAAACATTTTTTTTACTTACCGGTGTGATAAGTTGGATATTTTCATCAAAGCTTGCAATGTAACTCATAATATTAAGTTTCTGGGACAACCTTTCGACTTTAGAAAGCTGTAAAATTGTAAAAATCATTAACTCATTGCATTTTATCTGATCACTGAAAATTTCAGTAACACAATCAATTATCAGTTACACAAATACCAAACACTAACAAACTTGTGCAGTTTTTCCATATACATATAATGGTTCTGTTATTAAGGCTGAGCTATAGTTAATAATACTTTGAATATATTCTCACAATATCTTAATTTGAACAGAATAGACAATTATTTTAAACTAAACACAGAGTAGATTTTTCTGCTGTTGTAGAAACTTAAAAATACCAGTAAATAATCATATACTTAATATTTTTCACATAACATAAAAACTGGAAAAAAGCACAATTACATAAAAGTGGCACTGCAAAATTTTGTGGTTTCATCTGAACCAATTAAAAATTAGGAAAAATTCAGATTATGACATTGAGAAATTAATTCTATAGTAACAAACATTCAAATTATGACACCCACCAATAAAGTTTATAGTTTTATGAAATATTGTTACAAGATTCGAAAAAAAAACCCAGCAAATGTTTTACCAAATTTACAAAAACATCATAAAATGTACTGAAAGACAGTAGTTACTAGTTTTCACATTGTCGAATTTCAGTTAAACTACAAGAACCTTTACTTGCAAACTGTACAAGAACTAGATTAAATACTCAAATTAATAGTGATCCAAATTACTTGAAAAAAAAAAGTTACTAGAGGGAATTTTCTGATAACTTACACTTTGAGATAAAACTTGCATTTTCTAACAACTCATACACTTGAAACAGTGCCCATAAAAGTTCTTAAGATTTTCATTAAAATCTGCCTAATCAAAATATTTTTGTCATAACTACAATTTCAAAATGAAACTATGTATTTTTAATTACCCAGGTACATGTCAAATTTGCAACAGTAGCTGTCAGAATTAGTCTTAAAATAACATAACATAACGTTTTGGGACAACATGGGACCTGTTGGTCCATCTCGGCTATTTCATCCTCTAAACTAAACTAAAATAATTAAAAAATAATAATTATCTTAAAGCCAGCCCTTAGCATTCATATACTTATCAAGCTTTTTCTTAAACACACTTAAATTTACAGCCTCTACAAAATCTGAATGTAACCCATTTCAAAGGCCAACCACCCTGTTAGAAAAATGAAAATGTCGTAGCTGAAGATGACTTCTACCTTGCCAAAACATATTTGTGTCCCCTAGTCCTACTACTCTCACTGTTAAATATGAAAAAAGATTATGCATGAACACTATCAATTCCCTTTACAATCTTAAACACCTCAATCAGATCCTGCCTAACTCTTTTTTTCTCAAGAGAAAACAATTTGAGAGATTTGGCCTCCCCTCGTATGACAACCCCTCCATCCCAGGCATCATTCTAGGAACCCTTTCCAGCAGTTCAATGTCTTTCCTAAGGTAAGGAGCCCATAACAAGATTCCAAATGTGACCTAACCAGTGACCTGTACAAAGAAATTATAACCTCATTTGACTTGAGTAAAAACTGAAGAAAAGCAAAATTTAATATACCAGACATCTCATAATCATCAGATACGAGCCTTCCTTTATCATCCCTAAAGGTTCCTACCCTCATCCTAACATCTTGTTTACCCTTAATGTATTTAAAGAAATCCTTACTGTTAATTCTACATTTTCAGCCAACCTTTTCTCATACATCATTTTTGATGTCCTAATTTCCTGTTTTACCAATTTTCTTGATCTTCTAAATTTCCTATCATAACGGTCAATTCAAATTCCTTAAATTTATGATCCTTTAATTTTATTTCTTAAACTCTTTGTGAGCCAACCTGGTGTTTTTGCTTGCAGCTACCCATTTCTTTCTATAAGGAATATGTTTACCTTGAATATTTAAAAATTTATCTTTAGAAATTTTACACATATGATCAGTGTCTTCAAATAATTCAGCTTCCCAATTCACAACAGATAAGATAATTCTTGTTGCATCCCTTCAAAATTTCATTTTGTGAAATTTGTGACCAAAATATGATTATTTATTATCTCCATATGCAACAAAACATCAAACTTAATAGAGTACTTGCACCCAGATGTTCCCCAATTTCCACCTCTCTATCATTTCTATATTTGAAGTTAACAATAAATCTAAAATATAATTATTTCTAATAGGTTCCTTGACTAATTGGTGAAGATACAAAAACTAAGCATTTCTTTGGCAGAACATGAGCAAATGTGATATTTCCAACTATGACTTACCTCTATAATACAAAAATGATACAATTTTGATGTGATAGCTTATTTCATTTGTTTTAGGTTAAATCAGTAATTCTTGCAAACTTGAATAGTCATTCAAGAAAGTATATTAAGATATGTTCAGTTCAAAAAAGAAAGAAAATTAAAAGAACTTTATAGTAAGGTCTTATTTGAGAAAATTATAATCACTCCTCAAAAGGAACATAAATTTCTAGAAAGGACTCTTGTTTAGGATTTTTTTTTTATATACATAGTACACAAAATTAATACACAGTAATTAAGATAAATTTACAACAAATCATGTATAAATCATCTGTTTCAATGCTAACAGGTGATTTTTTACATGGACAATTTTCTATATTTATTAATACCACAAGTTTACCATTTAGATTTGAATTAAAGATAAATACTAGCAGACACTTTATCTGATTAGTTTGATAAAAAGGGCAAAAATATTTATGAGCATTTTCCATGACACCTCTACATACATACATTATGATTTCAATCTATAAACCATACACACCATATAACTTTTATAAGAATTAAGCTAGAAATATATAGTTCTAGCTTTAATTTTTGTAAAAGTTGCATATTTCTGTAGTTTATTGTAGGATATTTCATTACTTACTACTTTTGAGCATTTTTTGCATTCTTCTAAACATACATTATCATTTGTAATATCCTTTTACCTCAATTTTCACCAAAAATATTTTTAGACAATATTTTGATCCTAAACTTTTGTTTTTTTCCCCCCTCAACTCAATCAAGTCTTGTACATATTCAGTTTAAGCTTATTATCCACCCTACAATTTATTAAGTTTACCCAGTATTTGATTATTCCGACCTATTGTATTCTCTTTGTCTCTTACATTCCCCCCTCACTTTGCCATCTGATGAATACATGTTAACCCCAAAAATAAAGGACTGTTTCCTCTTAATATTCCTAACCCAACAATTTCAATCACTCTGGTTCCATTTACATATTCTTATTTCTCTTTCACTTTTATATCATGGGTTTTTACTTAAAAGAAAATAATTATGAAAACAGGATAGAGAAAGTGTAAAAGAAGGCAAATGCTACAGGAATGCTTCTCCTTTATTGAGTGAAAATTAACTACATTAGAACATAGTGACATGTTGATAGCTTACACACTGTGACTGATTGTCATCAGAAATGATCATACCAGTATAAAGTCTTTAAAAGTACATGCAGTCATACTATGCCTAGTAGTGGTAGTGTGTTTCCAGGTATGACTTCCAGGACTGACAAACATCATGAAAAGTATGTAGAAATCAAAGTTTTGGCTAGTAAAGGATACTACAAGACTCCAAGTTTCAATAGAAACTGTATGCAAGAGTTTGAAGAATGTAGCTGAAAGTGGCACTGTTAATAATAGAAATGGGTGAGTACAGAACAGGGTACATTCTTACCATCTCAAGTGGCAGAACCTTATTTCCTTTTGAGAGCAGTAACTTCCCACAATTGTCTGCAAACAGTGTAGGGTGATACAGATGTGAGACATTGTGGGTTTGAGTACCCATACCTTGCTCTTTTACTTATTTTACTGTACTATTATTTTGTTCTTTACATGCGAGGCTTGGTGAATGAAGGCTAAGACTGATAGCTGGTGTATTCCCACTACCATGCGAGTCCTACTTCTGAAGTCAACTCTAAAGGCCAGGACATAGGTTTTACACCCCATATTACAGTCTGTGCCCTGGTGGGTGACTTCATTTATTTTGGTTATGCAGGATTATATATTTTTTTTTTTATTAAGGTTTGTTTTTAATATTTAGTGTGTATATATATACACACACACACACACCACACAGATATAATAATTATTATCAATAGGCAACATGAAAGGCATTCACATAATTACGTAAATACTCTCTAAAACATAAACTGACTAATTAATTACATACTGCTTAATCAGAAAGTTTATTTCAATAATGAACAAAGCGATGATATTTAAATTTAACTACAAATATAGGTATATTTTATATGTTATGACCAGAAGAATTTATCATCAAGTTTAATAAACAAACATATTCCAATAAAACCAGTAGTACCTTTAAACTAAAGTTCTATACAAGTTGACTGCTACAAATAGTAAAGATAAATTTCACATTTTATTTGTTTGCAGGAATATTAATGGGCAAGAAACTTAATTTAAAATGTTGATCAGGCTATTAACGGTATATTTTTTAACAAATTTTATATCTAGCCATTACACTTCATCAATTTATGTTATATTGTGATCTACAATACTACAGTTAATTACATTAACTTCTTAGCAAAAACAAGCTAAGTATCAAATTAAACTATTCTAGCTGTGGTAAAGTAGGCTACATTCATTAGTTTATTGGTAAAAACAGAAGAAAAAAAAGGAGGGTAATGACAAACAGATGGGTTATTTACCATCAGAAGGAATTTATCTTCATCTGTTAAGGCATCCACCGGCCTCCTCTGTCTCTCATATTCTCTATAAGCTTTTACCTATATATTATGTATATAATATTAAATAGATTCATGGATATAATCTTATCTTATTAATTTCAGCAATAATTTTGGAAAGCACTTATTACCAAGTATGCATGTATATTAATTTAAATGTATGTACATGGATTGAATATCATCAGTAACATATAAATGTGTTTATATGAAGACAATCACAGAAATAATTAGATGACACAATGGTTTAGGTCTATACTTAAGTAAAATAAAAAGTTATCACTCAGCTAAGTTAATTACTCCTTACACACATACTTTTATGTTATTGGAGCTTGTGAAAAATGCATTTTAATACTTTATCATAAAATAACTTAATGCTTGATGGCATGCATATTAAACCAGAGTTTTTAAAACAGATAACCACATTTTTCTGCTTACAGGTCATAAGGTTAGTAAACAGCTATATTTTATTACTGCATTTTTCACAATAAAGCACAACTTAACCTTGTATAAATAGCAAAGCACACAACTGAAACTGCCTCTTAATCAGAACTAGTTATTAGTTTTTAGATTACTATAGCAATAAAAACTAAAATACACCACAGCATAAAAGTATGTTGCACAATAAAACTCTGATAAAAAGGACTTAAAGCCTATACGACATGCTCTATATGTTCAGGCAGTGATTTACACTGCCATCATCAGGAGAAGCAAGAAGTTAGAATTACAGACAGCTTATAAACCTTAATAACAGAAATAATTTAAAATAATCAGCTAAAATGTTTTGCCCTCTACAGTTACAAAATAAATTTCCATGATATACAAACCAAAAATCTTTATTTAAAATGATAATTTTTTTTTCATAATTTCCAAAGATTTTCTAATATTTAATTTGTTTCTATGATTAACCAAATGAGCATTATGCGAACTGATAGAATGAGCAGTGTTTGTCACATGTTCAGCCAAACCCGATTCATTAAACTTTATGTTTATCTATAGCATTTTTCAACTCTGGCATCAAATCTTTATAATAACTACACATCTTTAAAATTTAATATTAGAGTTGAAGTTTTTGGAGTGTGTTGCTATCAACAGAGGATTAAACCTGAACATTATTGACACAATTTATATTAAGTACTGTAATAAGTTAAAGATATCACAATCTAACAAATTACAAGTGAATACCCATTCTGACAGTAAGTGGATATGCTTAACATATACTCAAGGTATTTCCACACAATATATTTAAAACTTTCATTGACTGTAATGTAACATTTTTTTGTTACAAGAAATGTTATTTATGGTTTTAAAGTAAAAGTAGAAAACGATGAGGAATGTGGAATCTTTAAAATTCCATGTAATTGTGATTTAATTTACAGTGGTCAGAAATGTAGAAATTTAAAGTTATGGAAAATAAAAATGCTACAAGTATATATAAAATTAATGAATCAGCTTTGGCTGAACATGTAGTGAGTTCTGTTCCTTCTATCAGTTGTCATAATGTTCATCTGGTTAATCAAAGTATCATAAAAATGAGTAAAAGAGACTCTTTGAAAATTATGAAAAGACATAGTATCATTTTTAATAAAGATTTTTGTCCAGGAATTATAGAAATTAATTTTTCGAAAGTTATGTTATAAAAGTAAAGAGTATAACAGGTTGGCTATATTTGTTACAATATATTTATAATTTTCTATGCATGTGCAATTATTAACGTACATGAGCTGACCCTTATTGTAACTCCTGGCTTCTCCTGAATATGGCAGCATAGATCACTAATGAAACATATAGAGAATGTCCTACAGAACTCTTATGTCCTTTTTATTATAGTTTTATTATGTAACACACTCACCATTGTGGTGTATTTAAATTTTTATGCAATATTTTGCACAAGTGCCACTTTTTAATATTATTTACTATAGTAATCTTAACGAAATAGTTAAAAGAACACATACAGTAAAATGGATCAACAAAGCTATAGAGATATAGCAAATAATTTTTAAGTCTTGTATACTACAAAGGTTAAGCTATGAAGTAGTTTTTACCTCCTTTTCATTTGGCACCATCCGAAGCAAAATCTCTACATATTCTTGGATCAATGTCTTTAAATCCAAAGCATTAATTGCTCGTACCACCACCTCAATTGGTAGTTCCAGTTTACGACGAGAGATAGCCATGTTTCGCAGACGGTTGTGTTCTAGTACAGTTATTTTCTCTGGAACCTGTTTTTAACATTTTTACTTTCTTAATTACCTGTTCCAAAGATGTTGAACCTAAGACTGGTTTTCATTAGAAAGTATTATAGGAATATACATATATTATTTCAATAACTTGTAATTTTATGAGATAGGCCTATAAGAGATTAAACTTAGTTTGCTGTGACAGTAGGCTATTTCTAAACCAACAATTACCTAAAATATGGTAGTTTTAAGCCTGAATGTTTAGTACTGACCTATCACAGCAATCTAAGTTCAATCCCCTGTTGGCATGTCTCATAAATTGCAAATTCCTATTAAAGAAAATAATCTATAACTATATTTACTTACAAGTTTTAATTTAAAAAAACTGAATTACAGAATAAGCTTGACTGGCCAAGAAAAATGTTAGTATAAATGACCCCATCCCCAAAGATTCAGATTTAGATATATTTTATGTGATCCAAATGCAGTTTATAGCAATTATGTATAAATGTAATATTTATTAATTAATTTTAATATAATTACATTTATTAAAAAGCTTTTTACATAAAATAATGAACTAAATCAATTAACTAGAAAAATATTACATAGATTATTTTTCAAACATTATCAAACTAGTACTTATAGATGTACTGCAACATTATTTCGTGATATTATATTTCTCTGTAAATCATGATAGCCAAATCCTCTGAGAATTTTAATCACTTCATCATATGATGGGAAAATGATCTTGCATACAGAATTATCCAACTGAAAACCTACCTTGAATCGTTTACTGCAATTAATGTCATCAGTTCGGTCAGCAAAGCCACCTTGCTGACTAAGTTTAAAATTTTCTTCAAAATCAGAGAAGTTGATAATCTATGGAAATGGAAATTAAAATTTTATTTAATGTACAGATTTATATTAATGCTCAAAACTTTGGAAAAAATATATGTTTATGCTTGCACAATATCAACATCAATTTACCTATCAATACATACCAAACAAAAAAGGTCACTCACCGTTAAGCAGTGGAAAATGCAACAGCATATTCCCCTCCTATGACTTCTAAGTTATTTCACTAATTTATAAGTGACATATGATGTTTAAAATATCACTACATTTAACGGCCCAAAATACAACCTTGTATCCCTCCCAATAATTAACAATTAAACAAGAATTGTCCCTGATTATAATACTTGTTTTATAAAAATATCTTACATAACAATACCAAAGAAATCACAATATACACATACATCATGCACATGCCAGTTAGCCTATTTTACTTATAAATTAGAATACATTGGTTAATACCTACACAATGAACAAGAGTGAAACAAAGATCACTTACTTTAGAAACTAAAGCACACTATTGATGTTTAGATACCTACTGAATTACACAATAAGAATCTTTTAATTGGAATGTTATACATGTTTTCATGCAGCACTGGTCATACCACATTTATTATTTTGTGATTCATGTTCACAATGGTTATAGTGAATCACACTTACAGCAAATAATATACTGTGGTTCCTATAGCCTCATTATAACCATGCTCTACTGCATTTACTTTTTGTAATCAACTGATTTTCTTAAAAAATGTAACCTTCATGCCTCCTTAGTCCACTTCTTTGAGCTGGTGATGCTTTCTTTTCCTTGTACATTTATATTTCATACTGTTTCCAGTGGATAACAGGCAATATTCTGATGTGAATAAGCCTCAAGAATTAACATGTTTATTTTTAAATGTGTTTCTTGAACAGAGTACAAACTACAGTAGAATTACTGATTGCTTGAGTTAAAAAATTCAACTATTAGTGTTTGGGTGATAGAAGGAGATGGCTCGAACAAAGATATAAACAGGAAACAAATAGTTTCAAGCAGTTATGCATATAGATAAAAAGCATTTTGGACCAATCTTATGTATAAATGTAGCTAAGAAACACCTTGAAAGAGTAGCACTGAGGATCAAAGCTGTAGAAAAACTTGTAGCATGCCTGTCTTTGAAGTTATAATTGTGTCCTCCTTTGGGATGGTGGTTTACTACCTGTCATCTCTTTCATGTATGGATATATGTGTTAAGTAGGTAAACTATAAAAGGTAAAGGACAGGATGTAATACTGTTGGTTTATGGGTCAGTAGTTGGCATACACTTAGGCATAAATGGAACCATATATTACAGTTGTTCTGAAGATTTACTGTTATTGTTACTGAATTAATTACTTGTTGTGGGGTTATGACCATCTTATTGGATTACACTAGACCTCTACTAATCTACAATCCAGTTTTAAGTCTTCTAATGTTGTGTTTCTGTTACTACATATAAGTATTGCCATAATTTATACCTGTCAGGAGACACATTGATCTTGTAAATATCAATTTTATATTTCTTCTCTGATAATAGTTCAAGAAGCTGACTGAAAGAGCTAAGAAAAGCATTAAATAATGCAGCTTGGTTTAAGGTAGTAATGCAGGCAAGTTTTTCATTTTGTTTTTAATTTAAATAAGAGTATTAATTATTTGCCAGTGTAAAGATAACAATCAAGTTGGCAGTAAACAAAACAGGAGTTAATGTACTCTGTTCAATGACAATGACTAAAATAAATGATCAAATGGTGGTGAAAGTTGGTCAGGATTACAACACAAGCTTAGCAAATGAAAAGAAATCAAACAATAAATGGTTTAAATCACAGTTTCAATATTTCAATCAGATTTGTCAAACCATAGAAACAAAGATAAACGACATGCAATGGGAAATACAAAACAATCTTAAACTTCATTGGAATTTTTTTGTGAATCATTCTGATAATTTGAAAAATATTTGTCAATATGTACATCAATTAATCACTATTTAACAGCACACACACCTTGTACAACTTGTCTTCATCTAACTCACTAAATACTGTCCCTTTCACTTGGTTAGGCTTCAGTGCTATCCAGTTAAGGGTAGGTAGCTTGTACTTAGTCTGGTACCTTCTTTTGATAGTCATGGCTGGAATGGAAAAAATAAAGTACTTTACTTCTGCACACACAAAAAAAAACGAAAATCTATTACAAGACAGCACATGTGTTATAATAGTCTCTTTCTTATCTTGACATGAAACTTTCCTCCCAACAACTAATTTTTTCTTAAGTTGAGTAGGCTGATTATTGACTTTTAACCAGAATAATATGAAATGGTTACTGACACAAAATGTTAAACTATTACACATATAAACACCTTAATAAAAAGTTAATACAAAGGACTGAACTTAGTTTATGTTATTTAATAAGCAATCACATTCTGAAAAAAAATTGGATTCAAAAATAAATCACATTACAGTATTTAAAATTATGCTGGTGAACGTGAGAAGCTGATTTCATTATGAATGTCAAATCAGATGTCACCTGATAAAAATAAACAAAAAAAAAAATCACAAACTACAAAATGATAGATAACTGCTAAAAATAAAAAAGATCAAATGGTGGTGAAAGTTGTTGAGGATTATGACACAAAGTTGGCAGTAAAATGATTGTATTGAGACAATATAAACAAAATGTAAATATTATTACAAATTTCTATGAAATAGCTTTTGGCTAAATGGTGCATAATTTAACATTTTAAGCTTTCATAAATAATGTATATACATTCATTGACAATCTTTAACTGAAATGTGTGTTTCTTAACTTTTTAAGTATGAACTAATAATTCAAAAAGTATGTACACATAACTTAACAATATTGTAATAATGTTTTTACAAATATAAAAAAAACACTTTAATAACCTAAAGCCATTACACTTTAAAAATAACATGGATTCAAATGGACTACTGAAAAATATATAAATGAAAGCTGTTTTTTTCTAATTAAATAAATCAGATGGACCCTCTTATTAACTGAGAAGTAGAGAATGATAAGTTTCACAGAGTACTGAAAAACTGTAACCTTATACAGTTTTTGAGACTATTAAAAAAACCAAAAAATTTTGTATAACTAATCCATTGACATATCTTCCTATAAAAATATATTATAATAATTCAGAAATTATAATAAAAAATACATTTATTTATTTTTCTGAGAATTTTATTTTAGACTATAATTTTTCAAATTTTTGAAAGTGACCTAAATATTACTTTATAAATACAACATCAGACTTTGACAATAGATTTATGAATTCATTTAAATTTTACACCCATATCACCCTGTACAAAATGAAATACATGATTGAACATAATTAACTACAATGTATGCTATTATGTACAGTAACACAAGTTTCTTGTGTTTATCCCCATGTTTTCATTAAAAATGAATCACTTGATGCTTATGATTAACACAAGTTCAATAAAATCATAGAACAAACATCTTTTTTTTTTATTAGCTTTCTTTCATGTAAACCTAACAAACCTAGTTTAAATACAAATAAGAATTTATCAGATAATTATTATTTTCATACTAACAGCTCCAAGTTTAGTCAGATCAAGCACAATCAAGTCATACAATATAAAAAAAATTAAATATTATTACAAATTTCTGTGAAATAACTTTTGGTTAAATGGTGTATAATTTAATGTTTTAAGCTTTCATAAATAATGTATGTACATTCATTGACAATCTTTAACTGAAATTTGTTTCTTAACTTTTTAAGTATGAAACTAATAATTCAAAAGTATGTACACACAACTTAAATTTACTAGACTTTGTAATAAATTTCTATAAGTCAGAAAGTACATCTTTTAACATGAAACAACTTTTTACCATCTGCAGGAGAACACATCTGTCCTGGAGGAGGAGGTATTTGAGCTGATTTACCATGGAGTGGTGGGGGTGGGGGTGGAGGAGCTATAGGTGGAGCTGGTGGAGGAGGTGGTGGTGGTGGTGGTGGCGGCGGCGGTGGTGGCGGCATTAAAGAAGTCAGTCCTCCACCCCCTAAATCAGGAATTCCAGATATACTAGAACCTGAAGAATAATTATTCAAGTTAAAATGAACAATACTCTATTACCTTGAAAGAGTTCATTTTAATTAATAAATATTATTCATTTAAATAAAGTACATTATCCTGATTGTTTGTTATCGTTTAATTCTCAAAACTTTAGCTTAATACTATGTGCAATGTAATGCTCACCTCTGGGTAAGGATTTTTGATATATTTCAAGTTCTTCTATCTTTGATTCTAATATACTTTGTGTTTGACGAGATTCTTCTTCCTTTTGTGTAACTGTTCGGCGTAAAGTATTAAGTTCTTCATCCGTTTGTTGGTGTAATTCCTAAAAAACATTTTAAGATACTTAAACAAGTATATGCTACCTTATACATTCACTAAGGAACATTTAACTTAATATAAAACACAACAGACATTTCATTAACCCTATATGCATGGTGTTGGTCCACTGAGCCAATAAAATTATTGAAAAATTAATGCTCACTACAGTTCCAAATTTACTAAGTGTTTTTTTCAAAAACCTTGATAAGCTTTTACTAACACTACAACTACGTTGTAAATGAAAAAAAATCAGTTTTTGATAAACTGTTTTTTACTAAAGATTTGTCTGTGAGTTTATGAAATCAGTCTTACTCAGATTCTGATTAATCTAAGTTCAAGGTAATTTTCATATTAAGAATAAAAATTGTTATTTATCTTAGACTTTTTATATTTCATTTTCACAGCCTCCAGAACTTCCTAAATGAATTTCAAAAGGTTTTTCATGAAAACATTATATCTTATGTTATTTTCTCTTCCCTAATACTACGTTTAGCAAAATCACAAAATCAGTAACGTATAGTAAAATAAAAAGTTGAAAAATAAATCCAAACTACTCTCTTTTTTTTCTAGAATGAATGTACACTGTATCAGACAATTGCACATCATTTACTTTTACAGCCAAAGCTAATAAACTTTTCAAATATGGATTCATTTAGAGTTACTGCTTTACAGCTGCACTTAGAACCTTTCCCAGTGTGCTAAAATCCAATTATCACACCAGGACAGTTTTATGTAAACAAACAATCCATTACAAAAAATGCCAGTTATATTACAAAATCATGCCTCAGAATAAGTACAAGCTATGCTAGTCATCAGTAATTTAAAAAAATTAATTAAGTTTTCTTATCTAACCTAGTGCATTTCTACTTTTTATTTTAGTTCCTTTTATAACAATAAATGAAAAATTATATACATAGAAAACAAGAAATGTAGGACTTGTATCTTAAGTCTACTTTTTATGCAATTTAGAACAAAATATTATCATTCACACAAAACAGAATTCCTAAAACTAATATAATTTAACTGGCTTTCTAACTATGCTAGAAATTAGTTCAAAAAATTCCATCAGCTGGATGAGATGAACACTACAAAAACAAAGAAAACTGAGGTTAAATATTTCCAAACCTGGTGTATGAACAAATTAGCTTTGAAAAGAATTTAGTAAAGCAAAATTTTCTCTTTCTATTGATTATAAATAATTCAATAGAAAATGTCAGAGAGAATCACTGACATTTCTTGAAAGACATCATGTGATAGGAGGAAAGTGGTATGTGGCTTTAACAAACTTATATAAATCTAAGTCAAGCAAGAAGCTTGTAGGCTATAAATTTAAATTATATCGAAATGTGTGTAATTTGTGTCAAACTCAGAAGATCATATAAAAGTAGAAAAAAATCTAAATTGGGCAATTCAGAGTGAAGAAGTGTCATGTGATACAGAGAAGTGAAGTTTGAGAAATTATTTAATCATTCTTTTTTTTAATTAAAAAATTAAAGCTTGCATAATATTAAAAGTTGAATTATAAACTATGTTTTTATTCCAAGTTTATAAGCATATATTGATAAAAAAGTTGTTTAATCAAATTTGAATGTACATCTGTAAAAAAAATTGTGATATGTTCACTTTCACTCTCCTGAAGTTTTTAAAGTTTTTGTGAAAGTGGGTGGTATTCAATTGCATATGGTGTCTCATAAGTTTCTGGACTCTTTTGAATTTTATATCTCATGTAAATCTGTAAATATATTTACTAAAGTTTTTACAAATGAAAACAAATTATACGACAGAACTGAACTTTTAAAAACTTACCTGTAATTCATTTTTCTCTTGGGTAACACATTCTAACTGAGTTTCAAGCTCCACTGTAAGAACAGAACATTAACAGGCACTAAGTAAAACGTTTTAACACTTCTTTACAATGAGAGATTAATATACAGTTTCTCTTAATTAATAAGTTTTTTTATGGACAGTAATGTGCAAATAACAGTACTTATGATAAAGATGCAGAAAATTTTCGGACAAAGCCATATAGTTTGAGAAGTTCCATTACATCTTCTATCGTGTTGATAAAAGGTTTTAGATCCTGAATGAGGAGAGCTTCCTTTACTTTTATCTCCTATTCACTACAATCTGAGGATATAATTCAAAAGTCATTAGAAAAAAAATTAGAGTATTACAAAATGTGTAAATATGGCCATAAATGGTGGATCTATTGAAGAGTTTTGACAATATTCATTGAAACATTATTGTAATTGGCTTTTTATACAACCAATGCAGCATACCTGACAAGACTGATACCTATAACCATACATTATCAATAAACAATGCATTTTTTCGAACTACACAGAAGATGGAAAAATATAAGGGAACTTCTTCTCAAGCTATAGGGCAAACCTTTCTTGGACAAAGAACTAAAGATAAGAGTTACAGGAAATCTTGTTAGGCCTAAGGTTTCTATAATATTAGGAATGGTTTTGTGTCCAATAAATTAAAAGTTTAATCAAAATTGCATACGCTTGAGAAGAAAAATTTTCAGCCCTCTTGCCAATTAAGCTGTTAGTGCAAACTTAAAATGATTTTCTTACAATCACTTGTCTTCACATTAAAATTGTTTCAAAGAATCTAAAATATTTTTAGTATTATCAGACAGTATCATGTTCTTGTATGCACAACACCTAAGTAATTACCTAATCTTGCATTCAATTCATTCTCCAACTCCATATATTCTTCACTTGCCTGTATTAAAAGGAAATAGAAAGAAAAAGTGAGAAACCTGGTCATTATCTGATACATAGAACAACACAAATATCAAACGCAGAAGACACTTTTTCACAATAAGTTTGTTGTTAAGTGCAAAGCTACACAGTGGGCTATCTGTGCTCTGCCCACTGTAGGTATTGAAATCCAATTTTTAGTGTTTTACATTATTCCCTCAGAGCCACTGTGAAAGGATTCAACAATATGAAACTTAAATTTTGTCTAGAAGAAACTGCAGGTTTTTTTTTTCGCTTGAATCACACTTAAATAACAACTGAACAACAAAAAAGTAAATATTAAGGATATCAAATATCTAATCATTTGGGAATACAACAGGAGGAAACTTTTTTTGCACAATCACTAACATTTCATATTATCCAATAAATTATAGTAACAAACTTTTTATTTGGCTAAATATTTAACAACAACAAAAAGTGCTATTTTTCATAAACTTACTCTAGACAATTGTTCCTCTAGTTCAGAAACTTGTTCTAGTGCAGCAATCTTTGTTTCAGAATCCTCCATGAGGGCTGCAACATCAAAAACATTGTCAAGATATGCAGAAATCTGAACCTGGAGTTCCTCACTTTCTGACTGCCTTAGTTTCTCCAGGTAGTCGTCCAATCCAAGCTGCGTAAATTCATACTGTAAATGTACTCGGAAGTTCATGTCCTCCACAGAATGAACAACTATATTGATGAACTGCATACAAGCAACCTGGGGATAGAATTTTTCAAAATAAGTACCATTATTATTAATCTTTCCTGAAACCGTAAGCCCTATATAATAACTTTTCCTCTTCATAACTATTCATGGAAAATTTTCTATTTTTGACTAAAAATAAAGAAATTAGATACTGTACATGATATTTCACACAAAGCATCAAAATATACCAATATAATAAGTACGATTTCATTGAAAAACAAAAATTATTACATTAAAAAAAAAACTTTTAACTTTTTCCAGAACAGAAAAATGTTTGAAATTTAGAAATCCACATGCTAAAAACATTATTTAAAGTAAAATCTGTACTAACGTATTTGATTTAAAAATAAAATTGAAGAATTGTCACTTTTGTAATATGTCCAAGTTTTGGACACTGCTTAGTTACTTATTTGTCAGAAGTGAATTCCTGAAAACATCACAATACTTCATTAAAATTATCAGAAAAGCTGCTTGATTATCAAACTAACAACACAGTAAATTCCTGATTCAGTGAATTGTCACAAGTTACTTGTCATAAAAGTTCATAAAACTGCAGGGAAACAGAGTACTGCTGACTGTAATCAGAATATAAGCCATTTCAATAGACATACTTAGATTATAAGCTTATCTTGTAAACACAACTCAAAGGACTACTAGTAATTTAGAGGAAAAAAATTATGAAAATATATATAACTCTCTGAAAACTACTTTTTCATACTAATGGCAGTAGTGCACTAAATAATTTCTATTTAATATATAAAATAATGCAACAAAGAATATAGAATAATAGCATGCAAAAAGCAGACAATGTCTCGTAACTATCACAAATTTTCTGGTGTTTCTAATGATGCAATATGAATCATTAAAATATCATTCATTTAGACAATATTGTTTCCATGGGAAAAACATTTTCTTAGGGAGCAATCTACAAAGCTCTGTACAGAAAACAATGTAATATAATATGTCATTTGAAAACCTTGCCTGTCTATTGGTTATAACTAGTCATAAATGTAAGAGAGAACTGCATGTATTGACAAATCCTGAAAGAGAAGATGTGACAGGTGGGCATGGCAGGAAGGGTTTGATTTTCTCTTTGATGGCTCTGTAACCAAACAAGATTGAAGGCTAATAAAAATTTGCTTTTTTCTAGTGATGATGATATTATAGTGAGTAATTTACATTAAATTTACCAGTACCTAAATAAAGCACTTATACATCATTCACAGGTAAGAAACAATGCCTTCAGTTACATATCTCCATGTATGCAATGTTAAAATGACCCTATTTAGAACCAATTCATTTAGAGCTCTGTTCTCAAGAACTATTCCTGAGTGCTAAATGGGGTATTACTATATATATTTCTTTTTTCAGAAGGGAATAAATGAAGGGTAAACATATATATATATTGTATGTTGATATATACTTAGCAACATTGCTTAACAACATACCTGTCTATAGCCTCCCCCCCCTCCAACCGTATGTTGACATATAAATAGCAAAAATTTGTTTAATAGTATAATTTTCTAGTTCACACACACGCACACTGTATGTTGACATATAAATAGCAACATCATCTAAAATGACAGCAACATTGATTAATATTATATCACTCTTCTAGTTCCAATAGGTATATATTTACACACAGACACACACACATACATAAATAAATAAATAAATACACTATATGTTGATGTATGAATACCAACCTCGTTTAATAGTACAGCTTTCCTCTCATTCCAATATATTTAATAGTTCAAATGTGTACTAATTCTGATACACATACACACTGTATGTTGACATACAAATAACATAGAATGTAACCAAGTAATGACTGTAGCTCTCAACTAGATAAAATTAGCAAATTCTGTAATTCTTTTGTTGTGTTGCTCTTTATGGAAGTGATAATTTTAAACTATTCCAGTTCTGGACTAAATTATTGTTTTAGAATTTGCACCTGCACTACACCTTTTACAAAAACTAACACTTATTTCGTGGAACATTATTTTAAAAAATAGTAAATCTCTCTGCTTTGAAGCCCAGTTAATTTACATTATGATGGTCAAGAGTACATTAACTTCACACAGTAATAATAACTTCCAACTTTTTTTGCATGCCAACTAACTTACCATAAAATCAATGTTAAAAACTTCAAAGTTCATAAAATATTCCATCAGCGTTTCAAACCTTCTTCTTTCAGCACAGTCTTCTTTAAATTTATCAAAAGCATTAAGAATAATTTCATGGCCTCCTTTCACTAAACATATTGCTGCTAAGAGTTCTAAAACTAAAGCTTTTGTTCTGAAAAAGAAACAAAATTTTAATGTAGTGTCATATCCTTCTTTAAGCTTGGATATTTGTTGCCACAGCATGCAAAATTCAAATTGTAAAATGTTCTGTGTTAGTACCCAATTTTAGAACTGTTTGAGATAATATTTCAATATTGTTATTTTTGTTTTTGTTGTTATGGTCAAATATGATGATCTGAATTTTTTATTTTATTTCTGTAGTGCACATTGATGTATAAAAGAAATTCTAATACTAGAAGTAAATGACCTTAAAACACCAAATTTAGTTATTTTTTTTTAAATTGGACACTCAATATTTCACTTTACAGCTTCTTCAGGAGCATTTCACTAAAACACAAACTATAACTAACAGCACAGAGCTTCAAATTGTTTTAATAATAGATTCTAATAGAATCTATACATTACATTTACATACCAAATTTTCAAGCTTATTGTTGAAATAACAAAAGTAAAAAAATAAAATAATTATAACTATAGTTGCCATCCTTTGATCCTATTCATGTGTTCATAGTTGTTCAATGATAAAAGCTTCTTTAAATCTTCTATCAGTACTTGGTGGCTTTGGTAAGGAGTTGTATGGAGAATGGTGATTTCATGTCAGGTTTTATTTGTCCATGATTAGTTACAGAATAGTCTGTAACTGAATTTCATTGATATTGGTGCTTATAAAGGGTCAATATGTTCTCCTATCTTTGTGTGTAGAGTTCTTTCAGTTTCTCCAATGTACGTGCAAATGTCACATGCAAGTCGATAAATAACATTGGAAACAAGACAGCCATCATTAGATTGCAAACACGTTTTTGTAAGACAGTTGGCTTTATTACATTGTAGGGTAGTGTACTGAGATTTTGAAAGTTGGTTTTTAGGGCTGGACATGGCTGTTCTGCAACTTTAACTGGAAGTTCAGAATTTCCTGTTTATAGTTATCCACTTAAAGATAATTTTGTCAACTGGAGGTACCATAAAAGTAAATCTTTTTTTGTGTTATCTTTGGAAAATTGTCTTTTTTCTTCATTGTTTATCTGTTTTTTCATGTTGGAAGTATGGTGCTGATTTTTGGGTGTCACAGACCTTGAAAATTTGTTCAATGAAACCACCATTCTCCATAAAAATCCTTAACAAAGCCAGCAAGTACATTGACAGAAGATTTAAAGAAATTCTTTTCATCGAACAATTATGACCACAGATGAGTAGGGACAAAGAAAGGTGCCTATAATTATTCTATTTTTTCATCTTATCTTTTGTTCTTCAAATCTGTAACTTAGTTAGACCTTTTGTTTACTACAGGTAGCTTTTAATTATTTACCATAGCTTTACTACTTAATGTGTCAAACACACATAGTAGAATTGCATCGAATAGATTCTGGTAGAATTTATTATTCAAACCATTTGAAACTTTGTACTTTCAGTTACAGTTTCTGTTTTTGTGGAATATTCCTGAAGAAGCTATAAAGTGAAATGTTGAGTGTTCAATTAAAGAAAAATAACAAATGTTAGTGTTTTAAGGTAATGTATTTCTAGTATTAAAATATCTGAATTTTTGTTTTACAAAAATAACACAATTTTTTTAGATTTTGTTTATACTTAATTGTAAAAATAAAATTTAATACATGCAAAATTAATGATTCATATACAATTAATATAACAAATGTCAGAATCAAAATTATAACATTACTTGAGCTGATATATTATATACACCTTACTATAATGGACATGGCATGCATATGTATCTATGTATGTGACTGATATAATAAATACAATGTGATGCCATCTGTTGAATGGCACCACAAACAAAAATCCATTTCCCACTTTAGGTATTCAAAGAATGAAAAAGTAACTACGGTATGTGCAACAACCATTTCTTTATCACAGAACACAATTTTAAATAAAAGTACTCTACTTACAAAAAGAACACGACTTTCACTAGAACTGTAGGTGAGGGTTTGATTTATTGATGTAACTTGTAAATAAAGTACCACAAAAATGGATTTCTTAAATAAATAAAAAACTTATTTTTTCAATAAAGGGTAGCACATTTAATATATAAAAACATTACAATTTATATCTGCACAATCTGAACACTTTACCCTTGCAGTAATTCCCAGAAAAATTATTTTTTATAAAATGCTTATTTTTCCAAAATTTTTTCAATGAGGTATGGCTATTACAATTAGCAATTACTATCACAAACAGCCACCCGTAGGGCAGTGTTTCTGCTAGTATATTCAATAGAAACACAATAGAGATAATGTAATATTATTTCATCAATAATAATAACTGTCACATAATAAAACTGAAAATTTGAGTTTTTACCTTAGGCTTTTATGATTGAAACTTAGAGCAATACAGTTGATGGCCTCAGTGTGTTCTATTACCATGTTGAAACCATACTGTAATAATTTAAAAAAATGCAAAATGAATCCAAACTGAATTAATTAACAAAGAATATTTTCCTGAATAAGCACAAAATATTGCCTCTAAAATAAAATAGAAAAATTACAATAAGTAAAAAAATTGCACATCTATACATAAAACAAATTCATTTCACTAATTGGGTTAATTACCCAGCTTCCTGATAAGGATAGTTGGATTTAAGCCTATAACAAAAAGACAAATTTGTTGCATTTATAAGATGCACTCACTTTGAACCTCTAGTTCATTCAGGGGTCATTCAAATTATGAATTAAAATATATTGGTTCATACAATGCTACACAGAAACAAAGTAACTTTTCAAGCAAAACAGTAAGATTTAGCAAAGTTAGATGAGAAAATCTCATACAACTACTAAAACCTCCTATATTAAAACTTATCTACTACAAAATGGAATGTTTACTTGTGAAAATTTTCACTGAGATCATAACCTAACCTAACCAGTGCATGGAAAGAATTTGGTGACTGTGGTGCCCTAGTAGCCATACATTGAAAATGAGCCCCCCCCCCCTCTTAAAACTTTTGTTTAATACTTCTCTCTGGCTACAATGTAGAGTCAACTTGACAAGTTAATTTCTCTACAAATAGATTGTTTCTGTAATTATGTTTAAAGTAAGATTTCAATAGATTTTCTTTCATTAGTCTGTTTTGGAATTCTTGTCGACAACTAACCACTCTCACATACATCATCACGTGATCTTGATATTTGGTTTTATGTCACCTTTGGATTCTGGGTCTTTGTGTTATATCAATAAAGATTAAGAACTAAATACGAAAATTATAATCATCTTATTACACAAATCAAAGACAAGTAATATTCACAAGTAAAAACCAATGAATAAATATAATATACAGATATGTTGCTTCACCTTATTGTTCATGATAGCACGAAGACACATGATACAAACATGAATATCATCCTTAGCCTCCCCCATATTTAGTTTTGCTATGTGTCTGGAAGCCCTCCTAAACTTTGGGGTATCAAACTCTAGGACGGATCGATGTGATGTTGGGTAACCATTAGGAATGGTTCCATTCTCGTAGTTATGGTTAGGAACAGGTCCATCTCGTGAAGTTTGTTCATGTCTAATAAATGAAAGTAAAAAGTTTAAATTGAGAATAAGAAAAACATACAACATACAATCTAAATAGAAGAAATAATTTTAATTTGTTACAAACCATTTTTTGAATACTTTAATATGTAAAATTCTATACATGTGAAACTATATACATGTTAAACCATAAATCAATGAAGCCATTCTTAAAAATCATTTTAATACAAAGAAGGAATCATTATGATAGTCATGAGGTTAATATAAACTTCTTGTAGTACTGGATACCTTCCAAACTTGAAAAATCATGTGTACTGTCCACATATTTGTGAACTTTGTCCAAAACTACCTTAAAATGGCAACTAAAAGTATCTTTCTAAAATGAGTCCAGTAAAAATTCCATATTACAATATGATTATTATCAGCAAGTGTAATCATATCTGTACAGAAAAATACCTTAATGCAAAAGACAACATTATGTGTATTACTAGCATCAAGCACAACTTACCGAAGGATCAGAAGTCGAAATGCTAAATAATCTACAAGGACATCCAACCCTTTGTTCTCTTCATTAAGGAATTCCCTGACCCACCTAAAAAGATAATTCATTAAGGTTTGTGAAAAGGTATGCATCTTTTAGAACTGAGAATATAACTTTTATCAACTAAAACAATCCTGTACATTATCATTAAAAACTATTTACTAAAATCATTCTGTACAACATACAACTGTATTTTTCCAAGTTTCAGTTTTCAATTGAAGCAAATATAATTACATTACAGAGAGTAAGTAGAGAAGTGTACAAAGTTAGATCTTTGTTCAAGAGTGAATAATGTTGATTTATGATAAATAAGTTCCATAATATAAATTCCTATACAAGAATTTTCCACCAACCAATATTTATTGCTATTATGAAGTAAATTTCTATCAAATTGTAGTAATGCAGGAGTGTATTTTGTGTCAAAGATCGGTAATATTTTCTAATAATATAGACAATGTAGTTATTAATTTCCACAGAAAGAATGTTATGTAAGTTTGAATTCCATAACCCAGGAGTATTATATTAGTTAACCAAATAGTAATTACAATACCCCTTACACTGCAACAACAGTTAATACATTTTTATTACTTGTTTGTTATAACATAAAGCTACATGTTGGGCTATTTAGCTGCAATATGTCCACCATAGATTTCAAACCTTAGATTTTAGCATTAAAAGCCCTGAGGCTCACCACTGAATAACCAGTTGACATAGGTTATTCAGAGCAGTTTCTTCAACAAAATGCACTGACAGGAAATTTTCTTCCCATTTTTTACAGTTTAATAATAGGTAGTCCCTAGAAAGATTGCATGATTATGGAAAAGTAACAGTAGCAGAGTGTATAGATCCCATTGTGGTTCACCAAGAATGAAATTTGTGGTTTGCATAGAATTAAAAAAAAATTAGGTGATCCACAAACAAAAAAAAAGTTTAAGAACCACTGTAGCTGTATTAAATCAAACTTTTGATGGTTCATTAAACATTTGAAAAAATACTGACAAAAATTTACACCAACAAGTAAAACCTTTCAACATTAAATCTGAAATAATCCTTTTCAATAATAGCATCCTCTGAAGCTGGAATGTATTGGTTATAACTAATTCAATAAACATTCTCAAATAATGTTTGAAATAAAAATATTACTTTACTTTTATGTAAAAGCAAAATTCAATTTCTCTTTCCAAGATCAGAATATTCTAAGTGGACATATTATTATTATATATATATATATATATCTTTATCATTTTTTCCAAAATCTCTTTTTACTTCCATACTTTCATCTTGATTAGAAAATCAAATGAGAAAATACTAGTATCTTTGAAAATATTATTTCTAATAAAACATCCAAGTCCCTACATCTCAGGATGTAGTGTTTATATCAAAAGTGAAATATCATAAATATTACAGTGCTTCCCAACTTGTGTGATACATCCCTGGGAGAAGGGGCACAGTATCACTGAAAAGGGGATGTGGGATACCTTAGAATAGCCTTAAAATAAACTGGTGGCCTGAAGTGATTAAAATTTTAAGGTGGCCATAAATAGAGGTGAGAAAATGGATAGATTATTGACCTAAATATATTCTCATGTTTGAAATGCTAAAAGTTTATTATAATTATACGAGGAGCCTTACATTTTTTTTTTTAAGATACTCTGTACTGATAAATAGATCCTCCATTTTGAGCAGTGTTAGAAATTGATTATAAATTAAGACTGGAAAGGAATGAAAGGTGTCAGTAAAATTGTTATACTTAAGAAAGACTCAGGATAGAAATGGGTGAGAACTGCTAACATACTGGGATTAATCAAGAAAAATGCAAAATCAGAGATTAAAAATCTCACATCTCATTACTGTAATTTTTAGAAAAGACAGAAGTAATAAGCTGGGTATTACCTTCAACACATACTCTTCTCTTGAAAGTTATCTTATTATTAGTAAATTAATAATGATATTCTAAATAAGAGTGTTTTTAGAACTTCTACATACTCTATGTGATTGGTCCGTAAAGAGATCTCAAGATCCCGAAGAACTTGTGTTGATGAAGAATCACCAAGAAACTTCCTTTTCTGAAATTAGAGATATAAGTTAAATGGCAGAAGAAAACAAAACTTTGTCTTTTGAACAATTATAGATAATGTTTTTTTGCTTTGTATATGCATTAGCCATCCCTAATTTAGAAGTGAGAGGCTAGAGGAAAGGTGACTAGTTAACGCTATACACCAACAACTCTTGGGATACTCTAACTGAATAGAGGGACTGACTGTTTTGTTATAATGCTTCCATGGCTAAAAGGATGAGCATGTTTGGTGACAGGATTTGAACTCATAGGTTGCAAGTCGAGCAACGTATCCACCAGGATCTAACTATATAAGAAACTGAATACTTGTGTAATGGACTATTTTGATCAAATAGTTTCTTTAAATTGATCATCATGGCTGTTTCAACATAACAAAGACTAAACTTCATTATAATTATAGCAATCAATGTGCTTGATTTTTATTGAATGAATTAAACAATGTTTCTTCTAAATAATATTCCTGCAACAAAACTATTCACATTTGTTTATTATTTGTTCAGTGAGCTTTTCTTTTATTCTATCACAGATCTATAATATCTTTGTGTTGTAAACTATATTTTCATTGTTTTAATTTAGCTGTTTCTTAGATAGTGCAAAATGTTAAGATCAAGTAACTTCACAAAAATAATCCTAGAATACTTAGAAAGTTTATGATGACATCAAGAATCTAGTAACTTAAACTAATATCTGGACATGGGTACATTAGTTATAAATACAAGTAAGAAGTAAGTTAGTTGATTGAAGTATTCAGTGTATTAATTATCAATTAGTTATTGATTGAGAGAAGATTAATTAAATAAAGTTTAGTGTTTCTGAAAGCTAATCAGTGAGCTAGTCAGCATTTGTTATCTATCCAGGAAATTTTTGTTAAAACATTAATAGTGTATAAGGTCTAAAGTAGTTCAAGGGCTTATTATGAAAAACATTTTTTGTGAACTTTTAAATTGTAATAACAAACTTCTTATGATTCACTAAACAATCTGATGGTTATTACATTGTATTATAAAACCAAAGACTAGCAAACTTTATTAAAAGCTTGTCTAATTAAAAACAATAGAAAAAACTTATCTTGGACCTACTCAAAAGAAAAACTTCATTTTCTTATTTTGTGGCTGAGCAGGTCTTCAAATCTGAATTCCTGCAGTTGCCCAATGACAGATTAGATTAAGAAAACATAGTAGAAGAAAGGAACACTGTACTATTTGATCTTTGTTAGGTGATTCTCCAAGTAAAATTTAAAGGAGCCATGTATTATGACAAACTGTACATATCACACTCACATTAAGGTATAGATAAACTGGGACAATTTAACACTTTTACTGACTGGGCCAAAAAATAATAACCAAAGTGGTTGAAACTGGGATGTCTGGTAACTCACAGCAACTGAAAAATTGGAAGTTACACTAACTGTAAGGAGTTTCTCTACACCTCATGATGTGTGTGTGTGTGTGTGTGATTGACATCATTAACCAGTGCTTATTGGAAACTGATATCATGCACAGATATTGCTACACAATGACTAGAAAATCCCTGTGCAATGACAATGACAACAAGGAGGCAATTACTGTACCACCAAGATGCAAAATACTTACACCAGGAATTATTATAAATAAATACAAATCTAGTGACTGGGGCTTAGTAAAACTAAACACTTCAGCATGTCCTGAGTGACTGATGATTGGAAGAGCTCTCACGGATCTGAAGAATAAAGATTTCATCCATGACTTTACCTGGAAAAGCATTATATCACTGTAGTAAAAGGAAAAGTTACTACGATGTTAATGCTGATAAGATTGCATTTCACTGAGGTGCCACAGTATGGCTGAACAATTCTTGTCACAATAAAGGACCAACTTTAAAGTTAATTAGGTGTTGGGAAGTTCCATACATTGTACTGAAAAGAATCAATTATGTGGTTTACAGAATCCAACAGGACAAACAGTTCAAGTGAAAGACTATCCATTGTGACTGTCTTTGGAAGTACATGGTGAGAAGATGGTCAACTGGATAATTGCAGTGTTTTCCAGCAGAAATTCAACCTGCAGAAGAACCCAGGGTTACAGTCAAAATCATTTCCAAATGATCAGGAAAGCCACCAGTATATTCCCTAGACCACTTAACCAGGAAGAATCTCCTGTAACAGGACATCAAGTGATGACAAAGGAGGAGGCCATATCATCTGTATACAATGAGCCTTGGAAAATAAAACCACCAAAGAGACTTGGTGAATAAACAGTTTAGGGTAACATTTTATTTGAACTGTTCAAGGGACTTCACAACCCAGGAAGGGGGGCAGTATTGTAAGGTATATTTTTATTGCTTTAATTTAAATGTTTCAGAGAAAGCATATGGTGTTAAGATAAATTAAGTTCATAAAAGTAGTCCTAGAATACCTAGAAAGTTCAGGACAACGAAAAGAATCTAGTAACTTCGACTAATATCTAGATACGGGGAGATCAGTTATAAATACGAGTAAGTACTTAATTGAATGAAGTATTCAATGTGTTAATGATCCAGTAGTCATTGATAGTGAGAAGACTGGTGGAGTAAAGTTATTAAAGTTAGTGCTTCGGTAAGCTAATCAGTAAGTTAGGCAGCAGTTGTTATTAATCAAGTAAATTTCTGTAGAGTTTGTACAACTGTATAATATAGTACAAGGTAGAATAAATTAACGTGTTTAAAAGCGCAGACAGATGGGAGTAGCACTATTAGTTTAGCACGTCATGTGTCCATCGCATGGAATATATATCACGTTGCGTACGAAGTTTACCACCTCCTGCCCTTTTCCTCTATTACTGACCTTTATTTTTGTTATCCAACCCATAAATCCACTTTAAATGGGCCATATGTAAAAATGCCTACTTCGCTCTCATACTAGTGCATTTTCTGAGGAAAGGCGATTAAACTCAAATAACTTTTATTATATTATATTTTGTGTGGAATGCTGTCGTTAATTCATGTTCACATAATAATAATAAAAAAAACTAAAACGTTTCAATAACTAATACAGCACTACGACTCTTTTTCAACGAAGGTTAAGAAACCCAAAACATATATGAATACTTATTATCGAACATTTATTTAACAATGATGCAAGTACTGACAGCTATTGAGAAAAATAAACATCAGTCCTACGTAGTTCTTGTCAAAACTGTAATGTTTACAAAACTGGCCGTTCAAAATGGGAGCAGACAATAATACTTGCGTCCAATATTTGTTTCTACAGCAGTACAAGCCAAAAGCAACGGTAATTATGTACAATTTATATATCTTGGCAACTTCAATGAATACTGAAATTTTATGCGGTTAAAAGGTTACATTGTTCTTAAGTTTGTTTGTTTTGTTATGAATTTCGGGCAAAGCTACAATAGGGCAATCTGCACAAGCCGTCCTTAATTTAGCAGTGAAATACTAGAGGGAAGGAAACTAGCCATCACCACCTACTGCCAACTCTTGGCTACTCTTTTACCAACGAATAATG